TGCCCAAGTGAGGCTGGGGTGGGAGTCATTGTGGGACAAAAGGTACTGTAGAAACGATAGCAGTGTCTTCTATGACTTCAACGTCTCTGACACTTCAACAAAACTTAACATTGTGTATATCAGCGAGAAACAAATACGTCGTTACACCGAAAAAGTGCTGTAGCCATAAATGAGTAGTTAGCGGCAGCAGTTCATTTCGTTCGTTGGCTTTTTCTGAGCCCACCCATGATCACCAATTCGTATGAAGCTTACACCTGAAGGTTACTCAGCACTATTGCCACGAATATGGTGCTGAGATCGAAAACTGGCGTTGGCACTCAAAGGGTTGGTAATCCCTGATTATGTCCTTCAATTTAAGAAACCACAGTTGAGTAATCATGGAAGAACTGCGACAGTCCACTTCCTGTCAATATGAAAAGCAAGAAAAAGCGTGTGCGGATCCGATCCCATCAGGCTGGTCATGCAACTCCCCCTATTTAATAGTTAGACCACCCGGCTATATGTAGTAGAAAACCTTCATAATGGTGCTTGTAGCATCATTCAGGAGATGAGTTGGGAGGAACCCCTTTGATTTCTATTTAGTCATGAGTTTAATATACATTAAAAAATAGTCTACCGTTAGCATCGCTGCTTCTCAGCAGCAGCATATCTGCCGGAATGATCTCATCGTGAGAAAGATGCACGAAATCGCCAACGAGGATATGTTTCCATTCTAACTTGCGATACCTGAAAGAACACGATTTTCTATTGGAGGCTTGCCTATATGATGTCAACCCACCTTCCCTGACTCGAGTCCCAAACACGGCAGGTGGAATGATTGACTTTTTGATCGGATTTGTATCGGCGATAATCCTGAATCGATGCAATCGAGCAAAATATAGCGAAAACAGCCGATATGACATTTTTGCAACAAAAAATCTACCAAGAGCTTTCAAATAAAAGAACAGTGAAGCAATGGATACCTCGAAAGCGTCTTTTATAGCTGTGACTCCGAGGACGAAAGAGATTGGCATCAATGAGATGTATTTCCCAAACGCTCCAATTATCATATTCAACACAACAATAAAAATGAAATATAAATTGGCTGCCCGATGTAGCTGAAAAACGAACAGTAAGACAGTATCCAATTTTTGATGCTGAGTAAAAGTAAAAAAAGGATGAAGCAATGGCTTCAAAGTCATGTGGTACGATATATTGGTCCGTTGGGGACAAAAGTCGAGTGCTAATATGCACAGCAAAAGAGAAGGAGTCAAAGGAAACGGTTCAAAACCCGCAGAACGGGACCTCTGTTTTTTTTTGAATTCTATTTCTGATTTGAACGAGCACATCAGTGCTAACAGTCAGCGATGTAAAAGCCTAGCTTTTTCTCGCTAAAGGCTAGAATCGACACGAAGGTAGAGCAAGGTAGCAGTCGGGCGGCAGAGGAAGAGCGGGTCGAAGGGAGGGCGGGGTTAACCGGGCCCCCCCCCTTGTCAGGCTAATGCTGCCCACTTGCAACCTAGGGCAATCTTAGCTCGTTTTGGGTGCAAACTTACAAGGAAAGGATGGTAGGTCGAAGTGGCCGTATAAAATGAGATGTATACCACCTGATGCGTCTCCTAGACGCTGATTCCAAATCTGCCTTCCAAATCTGCTAAACGGCTCTCCGAACGGAGTTATGAAGCGTAATAGCTCAGTGGTGATGGTCCGGGGTGGCAGGTAAAAGCTCGTAGGATCGGTTCCTTTGCAAGTTTGTTGCTTTGCTTTTGTCCGCAACACTTCTAGAGACAAAAGCAAAGCAACCAATTTGCAAAGGAACCGATCCTACGAGCTTTTACCTGCCACCCCGGACCATCACCACTGAGCTATTACGCTTCATAACTCCGTTCGGAGAGTCGTTTAGCAGATTTGGAAGGCAGATTTGGAATCAGCGTCTGGAGACGCATCAGGAGGTATACATTTCATTTTGAACGGCCACTTCGAACCTACCATCTGGGCCTGTAAGGTGAGCAGACCTCGACTCCCGCCCTTGATAATTAGTTTATCGCAACCTGCCTCAATCAGACTTTTGCTATGCGCTACGCGTTGTACTTTCACTCATAATCGCAACGACATCTGAATGTGTGAATCAGTACTTTTGCTCCATCAAACCAGTAGGGTACCAATCAACGACTTCAGCAGAGTGGAAGTTGGCTGGACTAGGCCGAAAATTACTGTCGTTTTTGATGCCTACACCATCGCTGTTACAAACTCTCCCTCCGCCCAAAGAATTGCCCACACTAAAGTAAGCCCAACTAGCGATAACCACAACGGTTGGTGCAGATCAGAGGGAAGAGAGTGAGGAATCTCAAACTTTTCCCCTTCCCCGTTCTGTCTGAAATGTGGGAAATCATGAAAACATTGCGAGCGTATATCATTGCAAACATACAGAGGCAGTAGCGGCATGTTTGGATTGCCAGTATGCCGAGTGGAAACCGAGGAATTTTGATTATTCCAGAACTACTGCATAGGATAACCGGCCTGGTCGCATGAGAATTGCGTCCACTGCAGGATGAGGGGGGGGGGTTGTTCCAATGTGACCAACCAATTAGTGTGCGCGGTGGACGTTAGCATGGCGATTTTAGCTCTGTATCAGCTTGCATTTCCTTATCCTGAATTTCTGGAATGCAGAGCGGGTCAACTTGGTCTGGAAACAACTATCAACGGAGAGTCGGATTCGGGGGTCGGCGAGGTCAAACACTCTACCTCGTCGCTGGAGGGTGATAAACGAGAGAAAGTAGACGGAGTGTCGGCTATTTCCAATTTGGTGTCAGGATCAGTACTATAAGAAACAGCTCTGATTGAAAGGATGGGGAGGTATTCGGGTGAGGGTCGCCTTGAGGACCTTCCCTCAAGGTTGATTGTTAGGTGCTGCGAGGTCGGACGAGACCCTCGGTAGAAGAGTCGAGGGTCTCGTCCCGACTCTCCAGAGAGTCGGGGAGAAAGTCGTGAAATTCTTGAGAAAGCACCAACGCTAGAGTTTGCGTCAGTCAGGGAACAGAAACAAGACAAAAACACACCTGTTCTAGTAAATTCTTAGGTAGGAACGTCAGTATACTGTATTTCGTAGTACTGATTCTATTATCCGCATGTCGTCGATTCGGATGCTCGTACCTGAAATCGTGAACCTCAACGTGAAAGGCCAAATAAGGCAGAATTAGTGAATTGCGATCAGAGCCAAGCACAATACGAACACCCTCCACGTTCACTTCTTCAGAGTTAAACCCTCTACCTCAAAATTTTCGGAGAAAAGAGGACTGGGGTTAACAAGATCAGGAAAGGAGAAATGGGAAATACCCAAATCCCCTATAGGACCCTAAAAAGTTTAGTTTGCTATCCATTTTTTCGCCACTTTGAGAACGCACTCATCAACGCTAACTCTTCCAGTACGAACCGTGGTTTGACTCATAACTTAGTTTGGATTACCTCGGTGGCGGTTCGGCCTGGTTGTTCGGGGTGACAACTCGATAAGCCGGCAAAACTGGATCGTTGCCGAACAGCCATCGTGTCCACCGATGCCGCTTCAGTATCCGTCCACCCGTCTCCGCCTTCTCGCGAATGACTTGCGTCGGGCTCGAGAATATAGGCCTGAAAGTGTGCACGACGTTCAGATGGGAAAGTTAATGGATATTATACATTCATCTAGTCTCTCCACCCCTCAGACCTTCACTTGAGCAGCCGTTGAGGTTAAGTAGATGTAGTGAGGTATACGTATGCCGCGACTGATGAGAATGGCAGCGGTCGCAGCGGTCAAGCGACGGTATTAGCTCCCTTTGTCGTTCAATTTTAAGTCACGACACAGTCACCACCCCTGGGATTAGCGGACTTACTATCTTCCTCGAGGAGAAGTTCTCTATGGATCTAATCGCGACCCATGCTTTCAAAGTTACAACTTTATTTCTGAATTATTAGGTTAGACGGTACCGGGCACTGGGCCAGTTGCCATGTGTGATCCCTAAGGAAGCTTGGACCCCTGACATAGTAAGCCCACGGCGCGGGAAAGTGCAAACTCATTGTGTGTATCGACTAGAGAGTTCTAGATCGCGATTGCAGATTAGTTCAGTAGAATCTTCGATGTTTGCTGAGTATGGGAGCCTAGGAAAGTCATACTTTGAAGGAAGGACTTCGTCGAGTGGTCTTCGCATGTCATTCCAATGCTTCTAATGGTACTGAGTTGCATGTTATACTGCTCCAGATACGGGCAATAGAAATTTAATGCAATAATCAAATACCCTAATTTCCGGTGTATAAGCCCGCGCCGATTTCACGTAAAACCACCCCCGCTCGTGCAGTGTAACTTTGTACACCTTAGAAACCACCGCAAATTTGCCTATAGAGGTAAGTCGATGCCCTGATCACGAAAATGACTTTCATTTTCAGCGCTGGCGCCATCTGGCGCCAGTTGGCGCCACCTTGTCACGACCACTTGTTTTCACCAAAATTGGTGTAAACTTCCGTATAGGTTATTTGGTGTCCTGATTACGAATATGACATTCATTCTCGGCGCTGGCGCTATTTGGCGCCTATTTTCCGTCTGCGCTCTCCAGCGAGAGATGTGCACTGAACAACGTTAATCGCCAAAAACGAATGTCATATTCGTAATCAGGGTCCCAAATAACCCCTATACTGAAGTTTACACCGATTTTGGCGAAAACAAGGGTCGTGACAAGGTGGCGCCAACTGGCGCCAGATGCCGCCACCGCTAAAAACGAATGTCGTTTTCGTAATCAGCATATCGAACTACCCCTATGGGAATGTTACGGCTCACTCTAGATGTACCTAAGTGCACTGCACCAGCGGAGGTGGTTTTGAGTGATATTAGCGCGGGCTTATCTACCGGAAGTTAGGGTTAACGTAATTGATACATTTACGTGCGCGCGTTTTGGCTTTCTGGCCACGTGGGGCGCAAGCGATTTGCGCACGCGGTCTCTGAGAGGCTTACCAGCGTCCCATTATCCAACAAGGTGCGTTTTTGGAACTGAACACTGAAATTGCGCGAATAAGAGTGCGATGGAAATTGGAAGCGGGGAAACAAATCCGCGGAATCAGGCCTTCAAACCAGATAGTGATGCAGCAGGCATAAAATAAGGCGCAACCTTGCAATGTGCTTGAATATACTATGTTTCTTGAGAGGCCGCGATCGAGCTGTGCCGAGCGCGTCCCGCGTCTTTAGCCTCCCTCGACTCTCAAAGCGCTTGGAACAAGAAGGCTCATCGGCCGTGTTCAAGCATACCAAACCATTTCATGGGCTGCGTTCTTTGTAGCCAGGTTATTGTAAGATCTACATATGATGCGAATAACTTGGAAAGAGGCGCGCATGCGCTAGAAAAAGATGACAAGGGTGGGACGCGCAACCGCGTCTCAATGTCGTAGATGTGGTAAAAACGTGCTCTAGTGAAAAAGAGGGAAAATAAGGGCTACACTCTATAGTTGGGAACTTCATAATGAAAGAAAACCAACCTTGACGGGGGTACCCATAGTGAGGAAGCTCGTCGATGATGGCCCTTCGAGGTGTCGATGGTGGCTTGAGAGGTGGATGCCTGCTGATCCGTGTATACTTTCATTTAGCGGCCAATGCTTTTCTGTCTCTGTACGAAAATCCACATCGACGCGGCTAACGGAACACTAAAAAAAGCTAATTTTTCCTTTAGTTATTGCAGCAAGCAAGCCACGAACAGAGCCGCAGGAAACATGTCCGTGTACAATCCAAACAGAACCGAAATATAGAAAGAAAGAGGGCGGATGAATTCAGAAGAATATAAGCGAGCAACGTTCAATAGGTATCGCAGAATCACTTTGTGAGGTTCTAAGGAACACCAAAAACGATTACTTGGACATGCGTAACTGTTGGACTTTATTTAGCGCCTATATTCAGCCCACTAGTCTTCCCTCAACCATGATTTCGTGATTCAAGCACTGCAGCGCGCGTTCAAAGAAATCAGAGGAGTGACATGGAAAGCACTACTCAAATCAAAGGCACACGAAGACATCAGCGAAGTCCCCTGAAATTCTTGATGACTGGAAGTTTCACAAGTTCAAAGGCCTCGAAATGAAACAAATCAGTGAAAATGCGATCCAGGCAAAATAAGTTTTGTTCATGATTCCTATTCTTTTGAAACGTTTGCAACACAAACAGCGATTGATAAACAAAACAAGTCAAAAAAAAACACTAATAGTAATTTTTCATTACCTTTTACTCCTTTTGTGAATTAAAAGGAGTATTGTTCTATTTTTTTTTCTTTCGACGTTGAAAGCTTTCAATGGATTCCTTTTTGGGTATTCCCGAGGGCCTCGCGATAATGACAAATTTCTTCAAAGTTATGTGAGAACACTTAAAATATGAGTAAAAAAGCAAAACAAAACAACTTTTACTATTGCTCTTATGTGGTCAATCAATTATATATTCCTGCACACCTCAATCGTAAACAAATGCAAAAAAAATAAACAAGTAGTTAAATAAATAAATAAATACACAGTTTGACTTGTTTTTGTTTGTTAACTGCTGTTTTGGCCGCAGTTCGCCTTGCGAATGTTTCACAAGAATGCTGGGTTGTGAACAAAACTTTCGCCCCAGACGGGACTCGAACCCGCACCTCTTGCTTACCGGGCAAGTGCGCTACAAGTTACGCTACCATTTTATCCCAACCCAGCTCTAACGGTGAAAGAAAATGCCTAAAGGGTTTCAGGCTTGGGAAAAAATATTTTTGTTCACTGCCGCAGTGATTGACGGGATAAAAGCTGTGTTGGAGATGAAATGGTGCCCCGGTAGCGTAACTGGTAGCGCACTTGCCCGGAAAGCGAGAGGTGCGGGTTCTAGTCCCGTCTGGGGCGAAAGTTTTGTTCACAACCCAACATTCTTGTAAATAAACAGTAGCAGTCTGTAAGAAAGGAAAGAAGAAAGCAAGACAACTCAGTTCCCTCAGTAGAATGTGAAAAACAAAAAAGAATAAGGAAAATCATGCATATCATAAATATGATATGCGATCACAAATAAATAAATAAGTAAATAAATAAATAAATATCTAAGAGCCGAATTTGGCATGAAAACTATTGGCTATCAGCTCGAAAAAGCCCACAGAGGTGGGGTCATTTTATCTATTAGTGAGGTGAAGAAGGCATAAGCGCTCCAAAAGTTTTGTGTACATACATTTTTGTGTACGTGCAGAGAGAGAGGCCTTGAATTGAGACAAATCAATAAGTTTGAGATCAACCCCATCATTGACCAGATTTCAGGTTAGTTTTCGAAGCAAAACGAGATAGAGATCAGAACGGGCACAGCCGGTCACGTCTTTGAAAAATCTGATTTCAAGCGCTTAACAAAAGCATGGCTTCAACTGAACGCGGCTTAAAAAAGTACTGTTCTTGAGAAAGTGCCACTTCAAGGGTCGTCATCGAATTGAGTGCATGACAAACTGCAACGAAAGTTTCAAGTAGGGTTGTACTGGCTTGATCTGAATCAGAGTACGACAAAGTTTGAGGCATCGAACAGATCGATTTGTTCGATGGAGTCGTTAATGCACTGCAGCGATGGAACACGCGTAAGACAGGCCCGATACTGCGTGAGAAGGGAAACAAGCAAAAAAGAATAAGTTACTGGTATCACGGTAATAGCGAAGTGAGCCATCCGGTTTTGTACCAGTTGGAATGTATGGGCGAATTACCATTCAGTAGAGCTGTTATTCACAAGTTCAGATTCGAGTGGGAACCTAGTTAGCAATTTCTGGTTTGGGATGCGCCACGCATTCAACATCCATTCAGAATCGCAACGT